AAACACCAATCCTCAACTTCTCCACATCACTCATCATGACTACCATCGAAAGTCTTCTGCAAAGGAACAAGTCCGCCTGTTCATTCTTTGTGATCTAAGCTGTGGCTAACTTTGAAGCAGGGCCACTGAGCATGTTCCTCTTCCTTACATCTCCGAGTTGAGCACTCTTGGAGCTCCTCCTATTCGTACTCTGATCGGTGTGTCAGCCCAAACTGTGCTCACGGAAGCACTCTTGTCGGTGACTAACCAGTCCCTACCTTAGTTACCTGTGCCGACCCTCGCGTCTGCCCAGAGAAGTGGTTCAACCTCAATCCAGGAGGTACGCAGTGACGTCGAGAGACTTAGATAGAATAGACTAACTCGAAACATAGAGGTTATTATTCATCGCAATGCTGGCGGCAACGTTCAGCATGCTTTCCGGGACATCAGCGTCCTGGACAGCCTCTTTACCATCGATGAAATCGCCGTCATCCACCACACCGACTGTGGCACCCTCCACTTCAAGGAGGAGCAGGTCCGCGACTATGTGAAGAAGCAAACCGACGAGACTCACTGGGCTGAAGTTGACAAGATGGTCTTCGGCGCAAATGCGGAGTAAGCATACCCAACAGAATACCAATATCCGTTTCTGACAGTTTTCGGGTAATTAGCATCGAGAAGAGTGTCAAAGAGGATCTTGCATGGGTTCGCGCCCATCCCATGATCAGAGAGCAGCTGAAGGGAGGATGCCAAGGATTTATCTTTGACATCAAGACTGGCGAACTGAAGAAAGTTGGTACTGCCTGAGTCTAAGCCCTGGGTCTGCCGTGGTGGCATATAGTAGTAGGGCGTGGGGTGGGTTGACGATTGGGGCTTGCGTAGATAGTTGTCGCACTGAACGTGTATGACAAACTAATAGTGAAAAGTGTGTGAAAATTGAATATGCACGAATATGAGGAAAATGTATTGTGATTGTATGTATGTAGATGTGAGATCCTCTTTTTTTGCGATAGTGAGGAGAGGTGCTTTTATGTCTCTCGCGACAGCTATCATGTGATTATTGATTCCAGAGCCAATGAGCTTCCACCAGGTAGATCTAGCCTGCGACATTTACTGATCATTTACACGAACGATGTCCAGGTCTGCTTGCTCCACTACCAGCGAAGTGTCCGCAGAGACTGGGCAAGATATCTACCCACGGAGTTCGCAAAGATTGCGGCTCTCGTTCACTCAAGTAGGGTCGAAAGTACTGATCAGTTTCGCACGGGATCAATAGGGCCCTCGCCTTGTTCTCTGCCATGGCGGGCCTCATCCCGAGTAGTTTAGCTTGGCGGAAGTCGGCTCGCTTACATAAAAGCGCCGATAGACAAGGTACTTAATGCGCTCAAAGAAGTAGTATAGCGTAAAGCGGATAGCCAATCCCATTAGAAGATTGTGGCTTGGTGTGTGGCGGAAACGAAGCCGATGAGCCGGGGTATCAATGTTTACAGTCGCGGCCGGATGGATGCCAAGCAGACGGTGCAACGATGATTCGGGCAAGA